CCCACGCCTTGCGCATGCGCTATGGCGTTCAACGGCCGCAGCCGCGCGCGGCGGACGCCCCAACCGCCCCCCTTGTCTCGCGCCCCTTCCTCCTCATCCTCCCCTCAACTCCCAGGGTCTCCCCTCGCCCGCTCGCCCGCAGGTCCGACGTCTCCGCACCGCGGCACCGCGCTCCGGGTGCTTCGCTCACCTGGTTCCCCGTTCGCCTCCGCGCGCTGTGAGGAGTGCCGTCCGACTCTGGCTACCGGTCTCGCGCCCCGACACGAGCCACAACGCTTCCTGCCTCCTGCGTCGGACTGCGGCTCTGCTCACTGGACTGCTGGTTTCTCATTCAAGAAAGGCGGAAGCGGTGATTGGATGCTGCAGGAGGCGTCTGGAAGCTATTGGTGGAGAGAGGAAAGGGGGCGTGCCTCACGCCTCGGCTTCATTGGCCAATCTAAAAGTAGGCGCCCTGGTCTAAGGCCGATGTGAGCCCGTGCTCCGTCACGTGATTGGGGTTTTTCCGTCGGTGGGCGTCGACATATTTAGTACTGGCAGCGGAAGCCGGCTTGATTTGCCTGTCGGCTGTGTATCATCTGTCTGTTGAAGTGGTTTTTACGCTGGGCATGGGATTCAAGGTTTTCGAAGTGGGCATCAACTCGCGACTTCTTGGTTCTCCGGGGTGAGCCCGTGAAAGGGTCCTGAGAAGGACTGGGAGGTCGGAATGTCTCCAACGTGGAGAGGACAGGCTGCACCCGCAGTGGGGAAGGGACCGCTCGGGGCCCAGAGAGAAATGCGCGTCATCAACGTTTCCCATTTGCTGAGAGTCTTGTCCTGGGTGAGACTCTGTACTAGTGGCCATGCAGGCTCAGGCCACAAAACCCAAACCAGAATGTTTCACTCATAAGACGTTTTGGATTTTAATTTATCCCTGTATTACATTTTCCCAACCTTACCCCCCTCCCCCTGCCTTGTACTTTACTGAGGAAAAAGTCATAAGAAAATGTCCCCTGATTTTTCAAGATTGACAGCCGACTGACGATTGCCCACTGAAGATACAGAACATTTTCGTCACCCCCAGAAAGTTCTGTTGTGCCCCAGTCAGGTCTACCCTCAGCCCCAACCGGGCAAAACACTGTGGATTTCTATCACTATCCATGGGTTCTGGTCTCGAATTTCAGATAAACAGCATCATGCAATAGGTTGTCTTTTATATCTGGCTTTTTTGGCTCAACAAAATGTTTTTTGACGTCTGGTGCTGCATGTACTAGCTTTGTTTTGTTTTGTTTTTTGTTTTTCCCTTGCTGAGTAGTAGTTCACCCTGTGGCTATGATGGGGTTTGGGAGTGATGGTGGGGTTCGGAGCCCACGGCCAAGAAAGAATTCTTGAAGACGTCTTTGGTGCAAAAAGGTGATCTTATTAAAGCACAGGGACAGGGCTCCTGGGCAGAAAGAGCTGCACTGGGTTGTGAGAAGTGACTGCTTGTATACTGTGGAGTTGGGGGAGGTCAAGTCAAGGGGAAGGTTCTTTTTCTTTTTTTAATTTTTTTTTTAACGTTTATTTATTTTTGAGACAGAGAGAGACAGACCATGAACAGGGGAGGGGCAGAGAGAGAGGGAGACACAGAATCCGAAGCAGGCTCCAGGCTGTCAGCACAGAGCCGGACGCGGGGCTCGAACTCACGGAGTGCGAGATCATGACCTGAGCCAAAGTCCGAAGCTTACCCGACTGAGCC